TTGGACTCACGCCCGCGACAGTAGTGGTAAGCAGGTTTATGCAGACAGGACCTATGTGAAGTGGCACCGCCATCGTGGCGAACGAAGCTTCTTGGAACGCAGTGTGATGCCGACGTGTGCTGTGAATATCTGTTCAACCGCGGGTGCGCTGACGAGGCTGACTCGGTTTGCGCAACTTCCATAGTGAGCTTTCGTTGGCTGCAAGATCATTGGCCAGTCGCCCAAGCATGCCGCTTACACTACGCGTGGTGGCTGTCAGCATAGTTCTCATCCTTTCCCATTCAGCCTTCCTCACGAAGTCTTGCCACGCAGCGCACATATACATGCCAAACGAATAAATCAATTCGAGAAGAAGTCACCACAAGTGCAGATCAAAGATCATGAACAAGCCTATGTGCCACTATGCGAAACTGTGATGACGTCGCGATCTTTCTAGAGACGCTGCACACCGTTTTTCATCACCTATCAGCGCCAAAAGAGGCCTGCGCAAATGGCATAGATAACGAGGTAACAGTCTTTCCTCGAACTACAGGCGTTTGTCCTGGGATACGGATAACGAGACAAGGCCAGACGTCCTAGGCTGTCCGCTCTACAACACCATCCTTGTAAAGACGGTAAGAGTGGAAGATGGTGTAAAGTTTATGGAGCGCATAGGTCTTGGGAGGATATATAAATATGCGTGGTGAGAAGCGGGGGCAATAAAAGAAGTGGTTGTGTTAGAGTAACGCAAATGATTGTTGGTTGAGCTTGGGCATGCAACTCTGCACGCAACAAGTGTAAGCGTCTTCAAAGGAAGTATCTGGATATGGGAAGCTAGTTCGTAGGCTTGGAGAGACAGCTTCATTCGAGAGGAGAGAAGAGAAAGTGGGCAAACTCCTCTCAAAACCATCCTGTTGAGACTACCTACCTACATACTGAAGTTGCCCGATGTACCTGCTATCGACGTGCAAAAAGACAAAAACATACAACAGCGGGGATTCGCTAGTGGTCACCCACCTAACTACTAATCCGCCGGTACACTGCTTGTATATGGCTGAGCGGACGGGAAGCCTAATTTTCAGTGTCCTATGGTCGTATGTGCAAGAAAGGGAATGATTCATCAAGATAAACTGCACAATGCACATCACAGAGGCAGGCAGCAACAAACAGGGCGTGTGTCGGCACTGTGATGTCGGTACACTAACACAAGGTATGATTTGTGTGGGGTTTTCCTTTATGCATACTGTTCGGGAGATACCTGTGGTATATCAATATTAATGACCGTTGACGTGGTAAGCCGTGGATGAGGTACGAAGTAAGGGTCCAGGACAGACAAGGCAGCAAGACGAAAGTAGGGGAATGTTTGCAGTTTTGAGGTTAGCTCTTAAGCATGAAGTGGGGTATATTGACTGGTAGTACTTATCACTGATCATGATCTGAGCGCTGATGTATACTAGTCTTATGACGATGCTTATCTGGCGGATGCTTGGCGATGCTTGTTTGCCTTGGGTGGTGTTGCGTGTACGCGCATTACACTCTCTTGACGGGATGACTACACGTGGCGGTTGATCCTTGTCGCTAAAGAATGTTGCTGATGCATCTGTTACTGGGTAGCTGCTTGATCAGGTGTGCTTCGGTTAAGTCTGGACAATGCTTTGCGCTTCAGCTAATAGTCGACGGGGATTGCTTGTGGTGGGGCCATTGGGCTACTATGACAGCGATTTGTGAGTTCTCTGAGAATCAATTCGTCCACTCTTCGACGTGATGTATTCCTTGAAGGTGAGATGTGAGGGTACGATGAAGGGATTGCTTTTGCAAGGTTACAAGGTCCTTCAGTGCTGATCGGGTGTGGTGCCGGATCAGCGACGGCGCCAAGTGCTTGGTATTGTGCGAACATTACACTCCAGTTGAGCCGCAAACATGCAAAGGGTCGCGTGCAGCTATCTGGGCTGATAGAAATAACACCAGACATGTTCTTCTTTAAGAACTGGCGTTGGTCGATTGCGGGGTTCAGGGAAAGGCTACACCAGGACTAGCCACCAAATCAGCTAGCTCATGGGGGAGGAGATCCGCACCTTTCCGGACGCAGCATGACCCCACTATTAGGCCGCGTGCTTTGAGCCAATACTTACCGATTAGCACGTCATTTTTCGCCTTAAGTCTGGGTCGTCGTCGCGCCGCGCTCGCTCTTTCGCAAACCCAAAGACAACGCGACATCCCGAGCGACAAACCGAACGATACATGGAGTCGCCGGAAACACCCGCTGCGCCTGAGACTGCTGCTAAGAAGCGCAGAAGACCAGTCAATGGTATGCGATATGGCCCCTCGAAATGGCGACAGGTGTGCTAACAGTATTCGTACAGCCTGCGCTACTTGCCGTGCGAGAAAGGTAACGCTTCATTCTTTCTTGAGAAATTCTGATGGATTTTTGGTTTCCAGGATACGACAGAGCAAACTTTACGAAAACACCAGTGCATTGTCATAGTGGTCGAATTACCGGCGTTGCGGTCTTCGGATACCCGGGAACCAAAGAAAGCAGGGTCCACAGAGCTGACGATCTCCAGGTCAAGTGCGATGAGCGACCGAATGGCTGCGTGAATTGTGAACGACTCCAGCTAGACTGCGTGCAGAATGGCGGGGTTTCAGCTGCTGCGAAGAGACCAAGTACATCGTACGAACCAGTCGTAGGAATCAAGCGGAAACGGACATTTCGATCTTGTATCCCTTGTCGAGACTCCAAAGTCAAATGTTCTGGCGAACGACCAAATTGCACGAGATGTCAACAGCGCCGAACTTCATGTGTTTACGATGCCGAGCAAGTCGAGCCAGCTTGGGTGCAGAGCATTGCGACTCCAGCTTCAGAAACGCATACCGATTCGATGATGATACCTCCTCATACTCCCCAAGATTCTCGAGCACCTTCCAGGGGATACGGTCCGCTATCTAACAGTGAGCCTGTTGTACCAGGGTGTCCACCAGGTCTGCTATGGTATGCTTGACGAAGCCACCCAATTGTATCGAACTGACAAAGACATATAGGTTGTTTTCACCACAGCTACCACCGAGAATCAAGCTTCATGCGTTGTTAGATGCGTACTTTAACAACGTTCACCCCATTCGCGTTTTCGCGTTCGAGCACAAGCCGTCATTCATTCGAATGTTAGATGAAGGTCAGCTCGTGGATGCGTCCGATCAAGCCCTCCTGCACATTATGTGTGCGTTAGGTGCTCGGTTCTACGCACTCGACTACAGTGAGTCGTTCTCGCCCTTGACAAAAGATCTGATCCAGTCAGCGGGAAGCCAGTGGGCGAAGTCTGCGGAGGAGATGTTCTTCGCTGATTACAGCACCATCTCCATCACAAAGCTCAAGGTCTTGGTCTTGCTTCATGACCAAGAAGCCCGTAATGGCAACTATGCGGGCTCTTTCCTTCTTACTGGCCTTGTCATACGCATGGCGCACGCTCTGCAACTCAATAATGAGGTATCACCAGACGTCCTTTGTAAAGAGTTAGGAGGAAGTCCAAACGAGGTATCTGTAAGGGAGTCTCGTAGAAGGCTCATGTGGGCGTGTTATATGATCGATGTCTGGGCTGGTAGTGGTGTCGACCACCTCACTATACTCAATGAAAGAGACCTCAAGATCCAGCTTCCTTGCAACGAGCGTCAATTCTCACTACAGATACCGTGTGTCACGGAGCGGCTTGAGAGAGGTACACTACTGGAATTCATGCCTCCAGAGGACATACCAGAGAAACCGGCGGACAACCTGGGTATGGCTGCGTACTATGTACGTATCGTGAGCATTTGGCGGCGGGTCCTACGGTGAGCGGGAAAAGTGTTCCTTCCGGCCTTTTACGCTAACCTGCGACAGATTCGTAAAGCACATGGACGAAGAGCAACCGCCCTGGCTCCCTGGATCCGGATTTGCCGTTCTCATCGAGGACATACAATCATGGAAGCAAAGTCTGCCGTCCTGGTTAGACTTTTCCGCGGACAACATCTACATCCGACGTGAGACCCATCAGCTAGGTGCACTCCTCCTCATCCACTGCATGTATCATCACGTTATGTGCGACGTACATCGGATCGCTCTCCCTGATCTGTTCAAGAACCAAGAGCCATTCGTTTTCCCCACTGATCGGCAGGCATTCGTCAGTCATCTGCAAGATGTCTGCTTTGAGCATGCGCAGCGTATGTCGGTGTTGGTCTCACATATACTGCAGCACGGCGTCAAACACTTCGCGGACTCTATTCTACCATCGTTCGTCTACAACAGCAGTCGCATCATGCTCTACTATATCGCTCGGATCTTGGATGTATCGAAGCCCGATGCAGGAACTGTTATTGGTCGTACAGTCGAGCTAGTGCAGTATAATAACCAGGCGCTGCGGGAAATGGCGTTCATGTACCCGCTTGCTGAATCGTTATGTATCACATCCGAGCGCTGGTTAGAGACTGTACGCGACAGTCTGGCTCGTGGCCACTCTGCTGACTACATCGCGCCTCAGGATCCATCCGAGAACGAAGCGCGACGCATTGTCGGCGCTCCCGCACCGACGGCAGGTACCCCTAGGCAACGAAATGCGGCCCTCTCGGTGATCCCTCCAGTTGAAGAGATACTTTCGGCAACTTCACCTTCAACGCTCAGGACGGCCACTACCCGCTATCCCTTTTCGGCGCCGGCTACTGACCAGGGTTCATCTGTAGTCACTTCAGGTCAGGTCATGACTTCAGCGACTGAGAACGCGGTAGGGACTGTATACTCCTCCCCCAATGCGCCCACTGCTTTTGAGCAGCCCATGTTCAACCTCGACGACCTACAGAACTTTTTTGGGTGGGAAGCAAGTGATGATGAGAATGCACAGTCGACCGGATTTGAGGGATTTGGTCCTCTAGGCTGGGCAAATAATTTCTCTATTATGTGAGTGAGAACCTCGACACGAACTTGCTAGGCGCTTGTACGTAGCTCTTGCTTGGCTTCTCACTTCCTGGCCTGAATAAGGTTTGCCTTGGGCCTCAACCTATAATGAGTTTGCTTTCTCGCTCAGATCAATACCAACTTCTCTTACGCTCGCCCATTCTTCGAAGCAATTCGCATTGATGCACATGACATTGGCAATGAAGGCCTCACTTCCCTTTCCCTTGAGAATGATCAGGCTATAAGAGAATTGCTTGAAACAGGAACTTACCTCGAGTTTATTCTCACTCTCTGTACCGGCCTACAATCCTTTTAAATCGAGGTGAAAGTTTTATTGAACTGATCAGATAGAAAAATAACATTTCTTGCAACTAGCATAGTGCGAGGCTCTACGGATCCACATCCCATTCTTCGACAAATATATCATCAGCTGTGGACTGATCCCAGTCGAAATCTAACGTGTCCGCGCGTTTTGGCGAATCGCCAACAACGTCTTCATGTTGCGCACTGGTTGCAAACATATTCAAGCTCGTCCAATATGTAAACCTCTTTCCTCCATCTTCTGATATTGCTTCGATCATGGTAACTTGCTTGAGCCGTTGTAAGGTTGGAAACTCAGCGTGGAACCAGAGGCCATTCTGGTTAACGTCGTTCACCGTCGCGGCGTCGAGCCCAATGCTTTTGTCCATGACGGTCGCGAAGACGTGGCACATTGAGGCAAAGGCTTTCGACATGTGGGAGTAATATTGCGTTTGCTTCTTCTTGTCTTGCATGATGCATCGTAGGGGGTTGGTGTTCGTTATTCTTTTGCTATAGTACTGCTTGGGCCAGACATCCTGTATCCAGTCAGAAAGAATCCTGTACGCATAGTAAGTACACAAGTACCCATATTGTTGTCAAAGGCGGCCCCTCTTCTTCAGGTCTCGACTTCGCGTAGCGGCGCGCTGCCCTGCTTAAGCCGCGTGTGTAAAAGAGGCATGACATTGGCTCAGGTCGCTCTATCGCATTCTCGATGAACCATTCGACAGTATATTTTGAGGGGAGGTCGCATTCAGTTCTACCCCTGGCCTCCAGTTTGTTTCGGCGGCATGATGGTGTGTCGCATCGCTCCTCTCTTTCCACTGGAACAGCTTCAGTAACCAGAAGAAGATGGCAGAGCGTTACAAAGAGGTCGATGAGCTTCATGGCGAAAGTGGAGCGTGCAGCAGTAGTTTCGACGGGAGGTTCTCCATGCGATAAGCCAAGTGGGGCTGTCTAATCTTTATCTCCAACATGGGCGTAAGGCCCCCAAAATGGCTGTGACAGAGGCTGTGTTTGAAACGGATAGTGGTGCAGAGATCCTCATCTTGGCGTCAACGGTCAGCGCCAACAAAGCTTTGTGCCGTTATTTGCAAGCATGGAGATGTGTCGCGCCTCCGGCATTCCAACGGCTATTCTTCGTGTCCGTGGTGCTTCACTAGGCGCGTTCACTGCACGTATTGTCGCGGTGGTCAGAGCACACGCGCACATCGTTCCTAGCTATGAATGTGCCAAGAGCATCATCTCACCGACGAACGGCTAACTCGGACACAACACTGCAAACTGGTGGCGAACCGAGAGATGGAGTTGGGAGCTGGGAGTGATTTACTGTGTACACAGCCCAGCCCAGGGACGATGACCTCGGGAAACTCCAGCCCCGCGGCCAAACTAGTCCTAACCAGGCGTTAGGCACGCTTCGCCTTATCAGGCCACCAATCAACCTATTCGATGCTCTCTCCAATGTCTAAGTTTAGCGCCAGGATCGTGGTCTCATCTCAGTACCATGGGTGAAGAGAATGTGGCTTCAATTCTTTCCTGCGCGCAAGCAGAAAAAGCCCAGATGAGCTTCACAAATGCGACCGCGATTGCTACGGGTCAGCGCGTCCGCCACTTACTCTATTGTTTAGTATCGACTGGCCCATGTTAGTCGGCGAACATCCTCAGGAACACACAATTCTTGTTCGATCACAGCTCTACAGTAGTAGGGCTGGACAAGTCAGCGCAAATTACATGCCAAGCTTACTACAATGGTATCACTGTTTTCTTTTTCGCTTACTCTTTGATGCTTTTGGATGTTTTCGCTAAATATGAATCATTTGTTAACTATAGAGTGCGCTACTCGAAGATACTGCAAGCCTGGCTGTTGCTCGCAAGTTGCCCGCAGCGAGATCCTAGTATTACTCGGAGGCGAATTTGCGTTGTCACTCTTCTTGGTCCTCAGCTCTCTCGGTTTGATACTCAGCTGTCTCGCTTCTAGACCCGCCACTAAGACACTGTACATCCAGCGCGGTCACGCGGGAAACCTAAACACCACAACGCGGTTGATACAGTTTGCTAAAAGGCTATCTTTGCAAGTGTTTGATACAGCCACTAGATGTCAAAGTGCATGCGCTGAGCTCGGCAATGCCTCGCTCGTGCAGCCACACAATGCCACATTGCTCGTAGTGCTCTTTGTAGCAGACACGCCCTTGGATAGATAAACTCAGCTTCTCCGCCAGTCGCCCTTAATCGAGAAAATCGGCACTCAATCTCGCCAGCATTCGATTTCACTGTTTGCGTTACGCAAATAACGTTACGATCAGCTCTAGCATAACTGCGTCACGCTAGCGACCTCTTCTGCGATGAATATCGCACGCGAAGACAGGAGCGGTCGATATATGGCTGTTTCCCTGAATGACCAAGAGTGGAATCTGCCACATGCGTTTGGAAGAATGTAGCTAAGCTTTTTTGCAGGGATGGCATCGAGTTGCAGACGCAGTCGCTACGCGAGCTTCCAGATCACCGCAACAATTCATGCGACAGCGACTACATCGAGAAATCTGAATATGCACCCGCTACGCTCTCCAAGAGACACACTGGGTGGCGACGAGGTATCATATATTGTATCGCCACTGCAATTTTCGTCCTTCTCTGCGTCGTCGCTTTCATGGGGTGGACGGCTGCACTTCCAACAGAAAGCGACGGCATTCGCGTACTTTTTCGAGGGGACTGCCAAACATCGAAAAACATGTTGACTGCGACACACGTGGCTATCAACGCACTCAGTACACTTCTTCTCGGGGCTAGCAACTACTGCATGCATATCGTCAGTGCACCATCGCGGCGCGACATCGACAAAATGCACGCGAGAAAGAAGGCATTGGACATTGGGCTGAATAGCGTCAGCAATACTTTCAAGCTGGGTTGGAAGCGGCGCGTAGTATGGGTTCTTCTGGGTCTCAGTTCTATTCCACTGCATTTGATGTAGGCTATGGAGTTCGAGTACAAGTCCCATGCAGTGTTGCTAATAACAGATAGGTCTAACTCGGTCATTTATGCAACAACGACGGCGTACGAATACGTAGCTGCAGTGGTCACTGATGACTTCTTCCAAGGCGCGAACTGGACAGCAAGAGCACGAGAGCCCTACGGGACGCCAGCGCCAACCGAGTGGCACGCCTGGATGGAGGACGTCCAAAGAGGCAGGTGCTGAGCTGGCCTTTGCATATGAGACGCAGACTGATCGGAAGTATAGGTAATATACAACTCACTGAACTAGACACCAAGGCCTGCATTGAGGCATACGCGACCCCGTTCGTCACTCGGCACGGCAATGTCATCCTCACGGCAAATAGATATAATCCAAACACGACCATCTATCGCAACAATTCCTTGCTTATGGTGGAGTATGGCGATTACAACACATCTGAGGCTGGTGATGGTGAATTCCGAACATATCCCAGTTACAGCTGGATGTGTGCCCAGAATGCGTTGGAGATGGAATGGAATTCCAAGCCTGCGTGCTCAACTTTGTTGGCCGATCCCTCTGCTTTCGAGATGGAGCTATCCCTCCCCCTCAGTTACGATGAAACAAGTGGATTGTATGAGTGGGAGAGCCGCGTGATCCCTATCGATAGCTGTTTCAGCCAAAGACTAGATGAGAAGTGCACGGTGGAAACGAGTCTGGTTTTGCTAGCCGTCATCATCGCCTTCATTAGCTGTAAGACCTTGTGCATGATCTGGATCCTCTGGCGGCTGAAAGAGTATCCGCTAGCCGTGGTAGGTGATGCGATCGCCTCGTTCATGGAAGAGTCGGACAAGAACACGAAAGGCGCTTGTCTGGGTACCGCTTCGACTTTCAACCATACCAAACCCTGGCAAAAAACCCTCAAGTGGTCATCAAAGCCGAATCGCTGGTCGCACAATGTTTCGGTTGGTCAATGGACCACCTGTATACTCCTGTTTGTCGTCCCGCCACCGGTACCTTGTCGGCTACTGACCGAATCTCCAGTTGTATTTTAGCACTGTCTATCGCCATCTACCTCCTTGTCGACGCCGTCATCAACTTCTATAGCGGGATCTCTCTCAAAACTTCCCCTATCAAGATTTCGGGTTTCCACACCCTCCATCCGAGCTTTATGTTGCTCTCAGTTATTCGAAGTACCGGTAACAGCACATCCAGCCTACTACCTGCCGTCTTGCTCGCCAACTTGCCCCAACTCATTGTCAGTTTCATCTATGTATCGTACAACTCAGTCTGGACGTCCATGCTCATGGGCCTTGAGTGGAGTCAGTATGCATACATACGTCGCACCCTACGCGTTAGTTATCCAAGCGCCACCCAACGCTCGTCATACCGACTCCAGATCCCGTACCGATACGGTGTACCTCTTATGATATTGATTGGCAGCATCCATATGCTCATCTCGGAGAGCATATATGTCGTCAGAGTACGAGTACTCACCACAAATGGACAAGAGGACCCGTATCAGTCATTTGTCACGTGTGGGTATTCCCTTCTTGCGCTGCTGGTGACGATCATCGTTGGTACTGTGGCGGTAATCGGCGTGATAGCATTCGGGTTCCGCAGATATAAACCCGGCATGTCTCTGGTGAGATGCAGCAGCGCTGCGATCAGTGCTGCGTGCCATCCGAGACCGAACGAGAACAGAGACGCCGCCCTTCGATCGCTTCAATGGGGCGCGGTGCCACCTGATGGAGAGATAGGGCATTGCTGTTTCAGCACCGAGTCAGTTGTTATGCCCACGGAAGGATCAGAGTATGCGTGAGGAATTCGTAGTTCTGACCATACGGTGTTAGCAACTCGATGTTGTGTGGGAAGTTTCCACCATCTACTGAGGGACAAGGACTGACATACTTGGCGTTATTACTCTGGATATTTCTGCTACTACTTCTGCATTTGGTGTGGTGGTAGGCGGAAAGGAGCGTTGAACATCAGTACCATCAGCATGTCGTTGCATGAGAGGTGGTTTCATTCTTGAAATTGTCATAAATAGATATCGAGGTTGAAGTGAATAGCAATTTGCATTTAGAAGAGAAAGATGCGCGACGTCGCGAGGCGGCCGGAAATGACGTAGTTGAGGCATCACAACAAGGGGAAAATCTTCTTGCTTTTGCAAGATACCCGCCATCTGAATCATGATTCTTGTCGAGATACGAGTTGGATATCTTGGTGCGCTTCCCATCCACCTCAAATTACGTCTGTAATGCGACAGATACGATCATAATTCTATATTCAACCACTCTAGATCACAATGAATTTTTCTCGTCTAAATCATCTCAAAAGCTACTAACCACGGTGTTTCCTGAAATGCATCTTTGCACTACCAAATGAGTAGTCCTTTCCTTGCTTTCTCCCAACCCAGTGTCCCGCTATTTCTCGACCACTTCTATCCCGTAGTGGCAGTCCTGCCATACCGTCGAGCTCATTATTACTGAACTTCCATGGTTGGCCTCCTACGTCTAAAGCTGTCCA